TACCTCTAGGGGATGATAATCCCTAAATCCCAATGAGATTAAAGGCAGAAAGGAAGGTGGCCGGAGTTCCTCCTCCTGCCTTTGCGATGTTTCCTAGATGACGAAATCCCACGTCTGCCCAACCCCGATTAACCCGCGCGCTCGGCTCATCCCCCCCAAAATAAAAAGGGGCAACGAGGGTGAATCCCAATCCTGCTTTGCTCCGAGAGCCAGGGGGAAAAAGCCAGAGAGGAGGCAGGAGCTGCTGTTTTAACACCCCACCCCACCCCGTTTTCCCCGTGCTGCAGGCTGGGAGCACGCGCAGCCATGGCGCTGGTGAAGGGCGGTTGGCTTTGGCGGCAGAGTAAGTGTGACCCTTCAGCTTTAAAATCTGGGAGCCCCTCAAAAAAAATTCTGGAGGGGTTTTAGCTATAGGACCCCAGGAGGATGCACCCAGGGTGGGGGGGAAACGGCCCCAACCTGGGCAGTTAATCCATGGCAGCGAAAAAATCGTGGCTCAGCCGCTCAGGGATTTACTAAGAGGAGAGAGGAGCCACCTGCCATGAAAACAGACGGGGCTGGACCTGGTCCCGCACGCAGCGGGGTGGCACCAAGATGGCTTTTTTGGCAACCTTTTTGAATTTAAAGCCACCTGGCCGTGCTGCCCCAGCTGCTCAGGGCAGGCGCAGGCACCCTGCAGGACCCGGCTGTGGATTTAGGGGATGGTGACGGGATCCGTGAGCGTGCTGGGCCAGTCCTATAGGGCTCCTTCACCTCCTCCCCGTCCCGCCAGGCTCCATCCTGCGCCGCTGGAAGCGGAACTGGTTCGTCCTCTACCTGGATGGCAGCTTGGTTTACTACCACGACGAGACGCAGCGTGACATGGACGGCCGGATCCACGTCAAATACAGCTGCCGGGACGTGAAAACCGGCCGGGAGTGCAAAGGTGAGCCAAGTCCCCTGGCCCTGGCCCATGCAGGGCTCTCCATGTACCTATAACCCTTTTAAATGCTGCTTGTGCACATCTAGGACACCCCAAAAATAATCCAGGCTGCCCCAAAAATAATCCAGGCTGCCTAAATTGCCCCATTCATAGCTCCCAGCCAGCACCAGGTTGTCCCCCACGAGATGCTTGTCACCTCTTCCCTCCCGTTGCTTTTCCACGGGGAAGGAAGGACGGAGAAACTCTTTCTCCTCCCGGCTGGTGCTTGTTCCAAACACCATCCCACGGCCCTGACTCATCCCTCGCCGTCTCGCACCAACAAGGAGAACAAAGCCGCAGCTCAGCAGCTCAGCTCGGCCCACGGCCGGCGCACAAAGCGCCTTTCTCGGGCTGCGAAGCCGGGATGCCGCCGTGGGGGCACGGCCCAAAGGTTTGTCCTCCCCAGAGGGTCTCACTGAGCCCCGAGAGCAGGGCAGAAGGCTCCAGTCTCACCCATTTAAGACTCTGCTCTTGCAGAGCTTGCGATCCCACGGCGAGCATCCTGCCTTTCTATGAAACGTGGGGCACATCTGCTGCGATCTGGCAACTTCAAATCTGATGCAGCTCGGCCTGGTGGCCTCGGTCGGATTTTTGGCGATTTTCTGCCCTTCCACATTCTTTCTGCCGCGGGGGTGGAAGTTTCTGCTCGTCAGCTCTCCGCTCCTGTCAGCTTTTAACCTTTGAGATCCCAACTGTATCTCAGGAGTGGTGGCCAGTGCACCAGCAGAACTTTAATGATTGTGCCCGTTAACAGCAAGTGGGGGGAAGGTGCCGGTGGCCACCTGGAGCCAAAACCCCTCCTGAGAGGGTCCCGGGGTGCCTTGTGCGCTGAGCCGGACCCTGCCCCTTCCCTTGGCAGACGTGCAGCCGCCCGAGGGGAAGAGCCGCGACTGCCTCCTGACCGTCGTGCTGCGGGACGGCTCCAAGACCACCCTGTGCGCCGAGAGCCAGGACGACGCCCTGTAAGCTCAGATCCCCCCTCGGTGGCTTTTTCCATCCGGTTTATCCAAGCCTGGAAGGAGCCTCAGCTGCGCGCCAGCCCTGTCCCACTCCCCGAACGCCCGCCCGCGCTGGCAGGTCCATGGGCACAGGAGGTGGTCTGGGGCTCCCGCTGGGTAATTCGGAGCCCAGAGCAGCTCTTTTGAAGCGGTCGGGGGGCTCCTGCCGGCCAGGATTCCCTCCTGGGTGGGAAATCACCTCTCGGCCTGGCTGGGGATCCCTGGGGAAGGGTTTTGTTGATATTTGGTGATAAACCATGTGAAAGTCAACTCCTGACTGGCTTAAGGCTGTGCCCAGCAGGAGGAATCATCCATTTTTAGCACTGTTCCCCTTCTATTTATAGAAATTAGGAATTTTCTTTTTATAAATATTCAATTTTTAAATAATTTTTAAAAATTATGTATATATAAAGAATAAAATGTGGGAAAACTTCCACTGAACTCAGACAGAGGGTGATGTTCAGCTGCGGCCAAGCCGAGCTTCATCAACTGACCTTGACCCTGGCTGAAGAGAACTTCACCCGTTACCCACTTTTTTCCCCGTTTCGATGCCCCTTTTCCTGGTGCCCCAGTTTCTGCCGGGACGTTTCCCAGGGAGAGTGTTCAGCCCCCTGCCCAGCCCCGTGGCCTTGGGGCCCTCTCGCTGCCTCCCCGCCCCCACCTACGGGCCCAGCGCTGGCTAATCGGGAATTAAAGATTAGCGCCAGCCCCACAGCCACGGCCAGGTCACCGGGGGGAGGGAGGGGGATGCCTGTGCCCCGAGGGGACAATTCCTACCCCCCAGCACACCCCAAAACTGGGTCCTTCTGTTTTCTTTGCAGTGCTTGGAAGATGGCAGTGCTGGAGGCTAAAGCCACCCCGGTGAGGCTCCATCCCCCAGAACAGGGGCACGTCCCACCACATCCCTCAGGCAAGGGGGTGGTGGAGGCCACACCAACCCCAGTCCACCCCCAGCCCCAGGGCCAATGCTGAGCTTAGGTGCCCCCACACACACATACACACCCCGTGCCCATCGGGGCAGCCTAGGGGCACAGGAAGTGAAGCCCCCATGGCCAGGTAGGGAAGAAGGGGGAGGAGAAGTGGTGG